AAAAGTACTTGTACTCAAATTGTTAGCTTGGGGTCTGCTTCTGGTAAAACCCAAATTATATACAGCAAGAGACTATAGAGTAGCTCGTATTTACTAAAATGAACACAAATATGTGTCTAGCTTCACTCCCTTTATACTCCTTGTCTTTCAAGTCACTGTCTTTTCCAGCTATGCTTTGTGTGTATGTTTGTGTTTCTTGTAGTGCTGGCGAGTGAACTAAAGACCTTATTTATACTAGGGAAGTCATCTACCACTGAGCTACACCACCAGCCCTCAGCTATGTTTTCTTACAGGTCACTTAACAGTTTTCATATTTACAACTAGTGTCAGGTACTGGAGATACAGCAGGAGAAAAGATAGACCAGGGCCCTGCTTTCATGGAGGTTATAGTCCAGAGGGAAAAGATAGACCTTAAGCAATTAATGCTAAGAATAGATCATTTAATAAAAGGAAAAGATGGGGGATGCAATAGTGGGGCCCAACCTAGTTGGCAGACAGGGACAGTGTCTCTCAGAGGAAATGACATTGCAACCAACACATGAAGGACTAGTAGGAAGTGGTATGGCACCATCTCCACTGGGCCTCCCTGAACAACATTTGTTTTTTCTGTAATCTAACATTTGCAAATGAAACAAGGAATCAAATAAAGCAAGGACAAGAGATCTGTTTAACACAAAAATGCAAAGTAAATCTCAAATCACCAAGAACCTTTATTTTACTTCATATCAAACTAAAAGAATAAAATAAAAATATTATTTTCTACTCATGAAACACTTTTACATCAATTACACTGACCAATAGAAAAGTGAAATCCCTGAGGACTTGCCAACAATAAATAATATACTTAAAAACAGAATGCTTTGAGCATAAAGGAAAATTTCCTGAGCCTGTTCAGTTTGGGGAAGTTAATGGCCCTTTGCAAACTTGAGTTTCTCAAATGTGCAATTGATGCAAGTTTCTTGCCATGACAAGAAGCAGCCACACTCAATAGCACCGTATATTAAAAGAGGGAGAAATAACCAATCTTTTAATCCATTTGTCCATAGCCCTAGGAAAGCTACTGCACAGAGCAGAGAAGAAAATAGTTGTTCTTTGAGATGACATAGTTCTTTGCAATATACCAAATAAGTAACAGTGCCATTTTAACTTGCCATAAATAAAATGTACCAGATTCTCAATGCACAAATATACAAAAGGTACACAATCTCCTTGTTGTTTGTGGGTAACAAAGAAAGACCCAACGTTTATGTGGGTTGTTCTTTTTTTCAGTACTGGGGTTTGAACTCAAGCCTACACCTTAAGCCACTCCACCGGTCCTTTTTTGTGATGGGTGTTTTTGAGATAGGGTGTCACAAATTATTTGCCCAGGCTTCAAACTGTGATCATCCTGATCTCTGCCTCCTGAGTAGCTAGTATTACAGGCATGAGCCACCAGTGCAAAGCTTCACTGGCACCCAGCTGAAGACTGGTTTTGAAACTCTGAAATTCTCTTAAGGAAGAGTCAGAATACCATATCTTATTGATTCTAGAATCTTTGTTTCACACTTTACTGTCTCAAATTCAAATGGGCATGTCTGTCAATGGCCTGTCACATTTAATTGGCAACTCCCCACCCCATATTCTTAGAGGTATAATTAAATAATGGCATAGTTTATAATCTATAGTTTCTTAGATTTGATTAAATATGCTCTTCTTTAGTTCAGCATACTGTCATATGAAAATAAATCTAACATTTAAATCCTGGTAGTTTTCCCAATTGAAAAAATGCTGGCAAAAATATATGTATATATTGTCTTTTAAATTTTAGCATGAGCATCACAGCCTCAAAAATGGTTAGAAGAATGGTATTGGGGAGTGAGCTTGTGCTCTGGGTCTGGTTCTGTCTCTCACCAGCCAACAGAACTATAAGGAAATTTATTCCAAACATCTGGGATTTGTTTCTTCATCTTTAAAATGAGAAAATGCAAACAGGTGTCTTCTAAGTTTTCCAACCAAAAACAAAGTTGATTTTAAATCCTGCACCACTAAGAGTGTGTGTTGCTCGAGAAATTCCATCACCATGCTTCCCAAAGCTCAGCCTTCTCTGCAGCAGCCACCTCAGTACACTTTTAGAGCCAATACTTGGAATTCAGACACTTCTGTTCTCAAGGAGGAAACAGAATTCATTCATAGCGTTACTAACTAACTGGGAAAGGATAATTCTTCAGCCTGGGACAGTTTGTAAACTTGGTCAAAAAAACTGCAGAACTCTACTACCTTAAGCTGAACTAAATGTTTACTATAAATTTAAAATATCAAAAAATTACAGCAAGATTCACATCAAAGTCTTCATGCTTGACAAGATTTGGCTACGATTCTGCTACCCTGGGTGCCTCTTTCCATGCCATAGAAGCTTTCTTTTCTGAAAGAAAATAACAAAGAAATTTCATTTCAATAACCCATTCATGTCACCACACTCTTACGCTGAGAGTGCATTCAACCACAGTAAGTGAAAACAAATGTGAGGAATGGATGAATACCCAAAGTGATGAAAATGGAATGTAACGTAATGGGAATGCTTTGTGGTAATTAACACACATTTTATTTATATTTTTGATGTACATTTTCTTTTTTTTTTTTTTTTGCGGTACTGGGGTTTGAACTCAGGGCCTATACCTTGAGCCAATCTACCAGTCCTTTTTTTGTGATGGGCTTTTTTGAGATAGGGTCTCACAGACCTATTTGCCCAGGCTGGCTTTGAAGTGTGATCCTCCTGATCTCTGCCTCCTGAATAGCTAAGCTTACAGGCATGAGCCACCAGTGCAAAGCTTGATGAACACCTTTAAATTCAAATATTATAATCTATTAGGATTAAAACCAAGAATAGCAGCTAAAATCAATAACTGCAGAACAAATACAATTCCCTAAATCTTCCTGTCTAAATTTCAGTTCCATTCAAACATTTTAAATATTGTAATAAGTTGCCTAACTACCAGGCTCCATTTTTTTTTGGCAGCCCTGGGATTTGAACTCAGGACCTCACACTTGCTAGGCAGGCGCTCTTAACACCTTGGCCACTCCACCAGCCCTTATTGTGATGGATTTTTTTTTCCGAGATAGGGTCTCATGAACTATTTGCCTTGGCTGACTTGAACTGCAATTCTCCTGATCTCTGCCTCCCGAGTAGCTAGAATTACAGGCGTGAGCCACCAGTGCCCAGCCCAGACTTCCTTCTTTTAAATTCTCTGAAATTCAGTCAATTACACATGAATATGTTGAACCCCTATTCACTGAACCAGCACAGACATTAAAATTGTAGACAACTCAAGTAAACGTGTAGGCATCTTGCATTCACACTTCAGATTCTTGGGTTCTGGGGCATGCTACTTTTAAGTCACTAGCATATATGTTTTATCCAAACAAGAAAGGAAGAGGTAAATAAATAAAAATTTAAACACTCTCAGGATTTTCAATGTTCCATCCCTAGCCATCATCTGTATTGTGTTCCAGAGAGCAAGTTTTACCTCTGAATCCCAAGTCATTGATTTACTTTGTATGTTCCTCTTCTGTCTCTAATCAGGGCTTTGCTCCTCTCTAAGAAAGAGGAAGGCCATGAAGAAGAAATTATGACTGGTTGTAAAGACTACAATTTCTTTATAGGCCAGAAAGATATATCTTGTTAGAGAAGGGAATATTTGTGTCTTGAAGTATCTTTTACAGCAAAGTTTCTTACATGTTAAATACATTTCTTAAGCAATCTATAGACTTGTGTTTAAGTCTAAATTGATACTAGCTACTTATTTCTAATTAAGACAATTTGGCTCCTGTCCTATACAGCTAATTGCTATAAATCATAAAGTAGGTGTTTTTAAGAGACTGAGGCAACATCTGCTGTGCTAACTTCCCAGCACTTTTCAGTGAACAGAACACTGTAGGAAATTACCATGGAGCACTTTTAAAACCTGTTTGGTTTCATAACGGGCAATAAATGTTACCAATACAAATTCAGGAAGGGTGGGAGAGAGGCTATTCCAGTTCTCTTATGACTTCCTGCATCTCATCCACCTACTTCCTGTCACTCCCCAAAAACACAAGATCAGGAAGATGCAAATAGTCTGACTCTTCTTCAAAACACTTTTTAGTCAAAGAAGTAATATATTCTCATCTAGACAAGTTAGAAAACAGGATAAACAAAAAGAAAAAGTGCAATCTACTTACGAATATATTCCTTCAAATTTTTTCTTTGCCCATGTTGCCTATATAGCTTTATCCCAGGAGAAGCCAATTTGGGTTAAAAGAAGTATAGTCTATATAGAGTTTAATTTACTAAGCTGTTTGGTTTCTAAAGGATTCCTTCACATTTGTGAAGACTGATTTTGACTTAGGGCACTACCAAGTGCCTGAGTGCCAAAGAGAACCAGCCACTGCATGGCCATCTTTGCAATTGCAGTTTGCTTGATAGTGTTGACTTCTCCACATATCCCTGTGGTTTGTTAGTTCAGAGCAGTAATGATCTGGTGCAGCCCCCTCCACCCCATGATGCTGTGGTGTGTTTGGTGAGTGTGATATCATTTGTATTGTTTTCACTGACTTCTTTTTTATTTAACTGTTCCTCTTCTAGGAGGTGAGGGAGTATACTAAAGGCTAAATGACTTCAACAGTGAGAATTAAGTGTGCTTTGTTTGTGAGTGTACCTAAGCATAGGTGTGTAATGGCTACAAAAAGAGCTTAACAAGTTGGATGTAGTGGTGCACAACTGTCATTTCAGCACACAGGAGGCTGAGACGAGAAGATCATAATTTCAAGACCAGCCTGGGCTACATAGCCAGACCTTGTCTCAAAAGAAAGCTTAACAAGAGCAGAGAAATAGTCACAGAATAAAAAAGGGGAAATACCATCATTTAAATAGGCATGCAATGGTTTCCAGCCAACTTCTAGTTGTAGGCACAGGTCTGATGGTGGTGTCATAAAGACGCTCAGACCAAGGACAGCTTGCTTATGTGAAAATTACAGGTTCTTACCATTGATGTTACTGATAGAGCAAAGTATAGTCATCAACAGAAGAATAGTCTGGGTCATCTGCAAGGGAAGAACATAGAACATCATTCAGCTAAAATTTTATCATGGGCAGATCTTAGCCCTTTCCAAGACAAGGCATTTCACTGGAAGATGCCAGTGATTGGCCTTTCATAAGGACAAAATATATCTGGCACCAAACCCTATAATTGGTAGTCATGACTGCAAACCAGAAAACATTCTGGAAATCACTATGATGACTTCTTTACCCCTTTTCATCCATGCCAAAATATTAATATCTACAGTAAAATTATATTCAAAAATGGGCAAAAATGAAGTCACACATTATCAAATACTAATTTCATTTTTTTGAATGTAATCAGGTAAATCTTTTTTCTTCCTCAGACAGTAAAATATTTAATCACCAACTATGTGCTTAGTAGTGGGTTAGGTGTTGGAAGTGATACAAGAGCAGGCAAAGTGTGTACCATCAGGGATCCTATAATTACCCAGGGAAGTCAATTAACAAAAAATGCCAAGTGTGATTCTCCCAGAGGTATGGTAGGAATTCAGAGAATAAAGAGACCAGAGTTCTAAGTGAAAGATCCTGTTGTGGGCAGTGTGCAAAACATATATTATTAAGTTACATTTTTCTATGTCTATACTGTCTATAAATTACAGATCAGTGTGATCCAAGGGGAACTGTATCTCAGTTCTGCCATTTTCATGGTCCAATTTGAAATAATCTCCTTGATAATATTGTCTTATAAGAAGTTTCTTTTAATAGCTGAATTTTCTTGGATAAGCTATAAAATAGGACACCAATTACCAAGTTTCATTCTGGGACAAGCACTATTGTAGTAAGTGCTTTTTTCATAGAATTCTTTTATTTATTTACTTATTTATTTTGGTGGTATTGAAGTTTGAATTCAAGCTTAAGTGGATTCCAGTTACTCTACCAATTGAATCATATCCCCAATCCTTTCTACTTTGGTCATTTTTCAGATAGGTTTGATGTTTTTCTGTTTGTTTTTGTTGTTTTTGTTTGTTTGTTTTTTGTGGTACTGGAGTTTGAACTCAGGGCCTTCACCTTGAGCAACTCCGCCAGCCCTTTTTTGTGATGGGTTTTTTTCAAGATAGAGTCTCACAAACTTTTTGCCCTGGCTGGCTTTGAATCTTGATTCTCCTCATCTCTGCCTCCTGAGTAGCTAGGATTACAGGCGTGAGCCACCAGCCCCAGCAGGTTTCATGTTTTTTCCAGGGGCCACCTTGGGAACTAGATTCTCCTACCTATGCCTCCTATGCAGCTGTGATTACAGATATGTACTTTTGTTGAGATAGAGTCTTGCTAACTTTTTGCCCTGGCTGGCCTTGAACCAAGATCGAGATCTGTGCCTCCCAAGTAGCTGGGATTATAGGCACAAGCCACTATGCCTAACTTACAGTAAGATTCTAACATAGGCTCGTTCTCTTGGAAATTTGATTATGTTTGATCCTTTCCTCTAGTTTAAAAATTCTAGCTATTCAATATTAAAGAAAACCTGCCCTAAGAATTCCAAAAGGCCTTTCTTATTGGAATACCTGGTAAACTTTTAGGAATTGGGAGCGGTCCTCTCCTGTAAGAAATGAAAAAAAAATTTCAGACAAGTTTTTGCTATTTTTAAAACTTTCTACTTCACACTAAAAGCATATTATACTATAATCAGCTCTTGTTCTGCACTAGAGGATCAAGAAGGCTCAGAAGCAGCAAATGATCTACAACCCGGCCTGTTGGAATCTCAGAAGCAGACATTACATGACACTGAGGGACAGGAGGAATGGTGGTTCGGAGCACAGAGCCCACCCCGTGGCCCAGGCTGGCAAGTTTCACTGACCTCCTTGCATATCAGCACACCTTTATATGCAGAGTGGGAAACACAACAGTTCCCACCTCGGTGTGAGAACTAAGTCAGCTAATTCATATTAACTGTTTTGAACAGTGGCTGGCAATCTTTTTTCTTCTTTTTTTGGCAGTACTGGGGTTTGAACTCAGGACCTCACACTTGCACTTGGCAGGTGTTCTACCGCTTGAGCCATTTTGCCAGCCCTGTTTTGTTTGTGTTGTGCATATTCAAGATATGGTCTCTTGAACTATTTGTCAGGACTGGCTTCGAACTGTGATCCTCCTGATCTCTGCCTCCTGAGTAGCTAGGAGGCATGTGGCTGGCAGTCTTAAATATTGTAATGAACATGCAATCTCTTCCAAACAGCCCCCGTCTTTTCTAGAACTGGATGGAAAATTCAACAGCTGAGACTTCGAGCTGCCTTTCCGAGAAGCAGAAGCTTCCCTTCCCTCAGGAGCCTTTATTTTCAGGGCAGCAAACTTCCAGTATCAGGGTTTTGCCAGCCAGGTATATCTCTGTGCAATTCTACTCAGCTTTAGTGGGAAAATGGCACACACAGAATGTAATCCACTAATGTCTGTGTTCCAACAAAACTTTCTACATGGGCACTGAAATTTGAATTTCATCTAGTTTTCACATGCCATGAAATAGTATCCTTTTTATTTTTTCCAGCCATTTAAAAATGTAGATGCTCTTAACTCATAAACCCTACAAAAAAACAGACCAGATTTGATTCACAGGAGGTCATAAGTTTTCTGACTCCTGCTTTCTACAGGCTAAAAGAAAGGTAAAGAATTGATAAAGGAGTAATAATGATCACACTCAAGCATGATAGAGTCCTCCTTAATCTATGACTTATAAACATCACTTAACATTGTCCTAAAAATGCAATTTCCAAAAAGTTAATGACCCCTACAAGCAAAGGCAATGGAAGATATTGTACAGTTCTAATGTCTTACATTTGATAAATATGTATAATTTTTATTTGTCAATTAAAAACAACTTTAAAATGTAATACATCTTAGAACATTAATAATTAAAATGTTTATTAAAGCTATTTTTCTTCACATAAAAAGCAGCTGGGTTATTACCTTGCCAAGTTAGGCCCTGTAGCCTTTCCCGGTGGGGCTGCATTCCGCTGGGGACTGTAGAAATTCTCATACAAGATGGGTGCTAGAAGAGTCATCAAGAAACGAGACAGTAAGAAGCAGGTGCTAGAGTTTGGATCTAGAATGTTCCCCAAAGGCCCCTGTGTTAGAGGCTTGGTCCCCGGCTTGGCACTATTGGAAGATGGTAGAACCTTTAAGAAGTGTGGCCCAGTGGGAAATCGTAAGGTCATGGGGGTGTGCCCATGAAGGAGATTGTGGGATCCTCCTTCCCAGTTCTGCACCCTGGCCACGAGGTGAACAGGTTGCTCGGCTCCCCACAGCAAGTGCTTCCTTGCCACAGGCCCAAAAGCAATGGGCCTAACTGACCCCTAAACTAAGCCTCCAGCACTGTGAGCCAAAGCACTTCTCTCTTACAAGTTGATTTATCTCAGGCATTTGTTACAGTCACAGAAGCCGACTAACACAACAGGTGTCTTTACATCCTCAACGACATCTGACAAGAAAGACAAACAGAATGACTTAACTAGAACCTACTCACCCTGCTGCCCCCACTCACCTGGTGACAAACAGAATGACTTAACTAGAACCTACTCACCCTGCTGCCCCCACTCACCTGGTGGAGTCTGTCCGGTTTTGCGTTGGTTCACAAAATACTCAATGTCCTTCTCAATACTACACATTTCTAAACTCTTGCGGACTTGTTCATACATCTAACAAAAAGAAGACAAATCAGTAACCAGAGCTATGTTGCTGATAAATGTGACATGGCTTTTTTATTTACTTTTTGAGACAGGGTCTTGCCATGTAGCCCAGGCTGGCCTCAAACTCACAATCTTCCTGTCTCAGTACCCCCAGTTCTGGCATTATAGGCATGCACCATCATGCCCAACTGAAGGGGGTGCTGTTTTCTCACTCCCTCCTTTGTTAGAGCCAGCTTTCTCTTGCTCCTGGTTATTACTGAACCTAACTGGGGCTAACTAGGGGTGATTGGAGATTGAGAAAAGATACAGGATAGACAGACAGAAAGTGGGATCAGGTGTGTAGGGGGCTTGGATGGAGACACACAACCCTCATTGCTTCTTTTCTCTATCTTAATCTTTAATGCCTTACTCCTTTGCAGTTTTCTAAAACCTTGCTTCTAAAGGCTTCTTTAAAACCTCTTTCCTTAGATTCGCTCGTCCCATGTTTTCTCTTAGCTGTTCCTTAGCTTAATTGCTCTTAAAGTCTTTTACCCTCAGGCTTGCACTGTCCCATCTCTCTCTACCTTTCTTAAAGCCTCGGTGGTCAGACTTGCTAACAACCATGCCTACAAACTGCATATGCATAACTCTTAAAGTCTGGGTCCTCTATCTTGCACTGTCCCATGTTCTCTTTGGCTTTTCTTTAGCTTAGCTTTTCTAAGGCCTATGGTAAAGTTTTCTTTGGCTTAATTTTCTAAGGCCTATGGTAAAGTTTTCTTTGGCTTAATTTTCTAAGGCCTATGGTAAAGTTCTTGGTGCAGACTTTCTATCAACCCTCCTTAGCAATCCTTTTCCTTTAGCAATTTCCCTTTAGCAATTCTTTTCCCTTCAGTAATTCTTTTCCTTTCCAAAAGCTTCCCACACCAAAAAAGCCCAAAGCGAAAAACCTAAGCCAAAGGCAAAAAGCCCCTCTTCCTCCTTCAGGGGTCTTTTATAAACTGCTTCTCTGAACGCAAACAACTTAGGAGAAGCAGCTGTTCTGCTTCTGGGGCTGTGCCAATCTTGGAAAAGCAGGTGAGCCTCTTCTTGCCTTGCTTGTGTCCAGTTCTCATTGGCTTTCATCTGCTCTCCACACCCAATGTAACATGGCTCTTTTAAAAATGAGATTTGAGCTGGGCAAGGCGGCTCATGCCTCTAATCCTAGCTACTTAGGCCGAGATGAGGAGGATCAGGCTCAAGGCCAGCTCAGGCAAAAAGTTATCAAGACCCCATCTCAACAAAACAAGCTAGATATGGTGCCATGAGCCTGTCATCTCAGCTACAGGGGAGGCCCTAGGTAGAAGGATCCAGATCTAAGGCCTGCCCTGGGAAAAAAGTGAAAGAATAACTTAAAGCAAAAAGGGTTTGGGCACGGCTCAAGTGGTAGAGCCCTTGTCTAGCAAGCTCGAAACGTTGAGTTCAAATCCCCCAAAAAATGAGGTTCAATGAATAGCTGACTCCTTTCCAAATTTTGTTGTTTTGAAAAGAAACAGAAGACATTCTTAACTCCCAGATTCATGTAAGGGCTTTTGGGCTATTAATGTTTTTTTTAAAGATGCCAGCAAATGTATCTTTATGGTTAGACAAAAACTTTGGCTGAAAATTTATAATTAAAAAAAAAACACGGATGGAACCAAAAACTGTAAACCAAGTCTCATATCACAAGATCATCCACACACAAATGCTAAGGCAATTACTTAACTTGAAGAACACTTGTTCCATTCAATTCTATGGGTTTTCCAGGTGTTTAATCAATCATCTAAATTAAATGTCCCACCTAATCAAGGAGAACTATTATCAGGTTGAGATTAGCTCATTTACAAATCTGAGATCTGGGAACCCGATTACTAATGCTGTATCCAAGTCAACCCTGGATAATGGCTGTGACAATGCTTTGAAGAGAACCTTATCCTTGGAGTGACCATTAGCCTGGGCAGGGGTCAGTCTGCTAATACTTGTTGCGGTTCTCAGAGACCCCATTCCAGACTGGAGTGGTCTCTGGGGCTCACATTCATGCTATGACATGTCTATCTTCTATACATTAAACTGCATCTGGATTCTCTTCTCTGCTCTCCTAACTTAGCTCTGAATTTCTTAATTGGAAAGTCATGGTGATAGCCAAGCATGGTAGTACACACCTATAATCTCAGCATTTTGGGAGGCTGAGGCAGGAGGATTATAAATTAGAGGCCAGACTAGATTTCATAACAAGACCTTGTGCCCCCCCAAAAAAAGGAGAATGAAGAAAAGAAAGAGAGAGAGAAAAGAAAGGAAGGAAGCAGAAAGGGAGGGAGGGAGGAGGGAGGAAGGGAGTAAGGGAGGGAGTGAGGAAGGAAGGAAGGAAGGAAGGAAGGAAAGAAGGTCAAGTCATGGTGATAAAATGTACCAGAAGACAGGTAGGTCATATGTTTATCTGGGTTCTTTTATCAAGTCACTGTGTGGCTTTGGACAAGTCACTTTACCTCTCTGAGCCTTAAATGTAAACAGGCAGGGGAGGGGGAATGAACTAGTAAGTGTCTATGGCCCTTTCTACTCTAATGAATCCAGTACACAGAGCCACAGTCGTCCAGGGATGCTTCTGACTTACATCATCACTTGTGACACACTGTTGTGACAGATGATTCACGTGCAACCACAGTGCATTCCGGAAGAAGTTTATTCGTTCACATTCCTGAGCTTCAAACGCCTACAGAAAAACCAGCACTATGTTCATACACATGCAGAGAAAGGGGCCCCTTGTTTATGCTGGCTATGACAACAATGCCAACCCTCAAATATCATTAAGCTTTTTGTCCAGTTTAGGACACTCCTGCCATCAGAAAAGAAGCCCAGAAACTCTTACAGACACAAATGCAAGTAGACTCTGATTTCGTCACAGCACAAACAGGCCTGAATTGAAGGCAAGCAGTTATGAGGATCCCAGACACCAACATTCTAACCTGAGTTCCAGTAACATTTCCAAACGCCCAATGGACAGCCCCTTCCTCCCGCCCCGCCCCAGCCTGCCAGAGCCCCAGTTCAAAACTCTGCTCTTCCACTCCGGGATGAACGAACTTGGCAAAGTGGCTATAATCATTGAATCTGGTTCATGAGGGCATAGGAGTCTTTGTACTTGTCTTTTTTTAATCTTTAAGTTTTTCCTTAATAAAAAAAGTTAAAATAAAAATTGCCTTAACAATCTTTTTCGGATATATGCAAATACAGCATTCGACAAATCAGGCTATTCAACACAGTGCATGTTCTATTTAACAGTGTTTGTTATCTGTTAATGTGTTTTTAAAATATTAAATACCATAGCTATTGCACTTTGAAACTTTTTTAATATAAAAAAGTATATGCAAGAGTAGAGTGACTGGTATAATGAACCCCTGTGTAAACATCAGGAGTTTAAACACTGATCACCTCAACGCTCTTCTGTTTTGCTGATACACTACCAACTGCCCTACTCTGTTTATCTTGAAGCAAATGTATTTATTCCACCTGTAAATATTTTAGTACTCCTGTACAGGTACTTAGTACTTACGTATTAAAATATGGCTATTGTATTACAGAATATTTTAATAGAATCAGGGAGCAATATACTCAATACCCACATAACAACCACTTAGCTTTATAAAAAATTTTGGCTACTGGGCTGGCAGAGTGGCTCAAGTGGTAGAGTGCCTGCCTTGCAAGTGAGAGGCCCTGAGTTCAAACCCCAGTACTGTCAAAAAAAAAAAAATGACTACTGCTAAGCATGCTGACTCCCACTTGTAATTCTATCATTTGGGAGGCTGAGGCAGAAGGATGGAGAGTTTGAGGCCAGCTTGGGTTACACAGTGAGTTCCACACCAGCCTGAGTCACATAGCAAAAACTGTCTCAATCCCCCTCCACCAGCCTGAGTTACATAGCAAAAACTGTCTCAACACCCCCCCCAAAAGTTTTCTGGACATATTTGCATCATATTTAGTTGAAGTCCTCATGTGATATGTGACTTCTCCAAACTCTATCACCTTCCTCTTTCCCCAGAGATAACCTTAATATCATTATTCCCACACAGGTTTATTTGTTTTTGAGGTACTGGGGTTTGAACTCAGGGCCTACACCTTGAGCCACTCCACCAGCCCTTTTTTGAGATGGTTTTTTTAGAGATAGGGTCTCTCGAATTATTTGCCCGGCTGGCTTCAAACCACAATCCTCCTGATCTCTGCCTCCTGAGTAGCTAGGATTACAGGTGTGAGCCACTGGTGCCCAGCTAGCCTGCACAGGTTTTTAATAGTACTTATGTATCCATGAAATGTATATGATATTGTTTTGCATAAAAATAGCCTTATTCTAGGCTTTTCATGTGAGTGTGGAGTTAAGAAGATAAAGCCGGGGTGGCAGAGGGGCTCAAGTGGTAGAGTGCCTGCCTAGCAAGCGTGAGGCCCTGAGTTCAAACCCCAGTACTGCCAAAAAAGGAAAAAAAGAAGATAAAGCAGAAAAGAGTGCTTTAGTGGGGCCACAGTATCCCACAGTGTCAGATAGAGGTGATAAGTCAACAAAGATTAGCAAACACAATGGCCAAGTGAGTGTGTAGCTCAGTGGTAAAGTGCTTGCCTAACATGCATGAAACCCTGGGTTCCATCCCCAGCAGCTCAGAAAAAAAAAAAAGAAAAAACAGAAATAAAGGAACCACAAGAAAGTCTTACTTGACCTCACGCCAAAGGGATCCCTAATGCCCTCTGAGAAAGGAGAGAGCAGAGCTGCAGGGAAGCAAACCTCACGCTGGGCCAATGAGGGCTTGGACAAGTCCTTTAAAAAGTTTGATAGGCTGGGAGTGAAGCTCCCTGGAGGAGCTGGGTTTGATCCCAAGTGTTCGTGCACACACACATCCACACACAAACATCCACACACAAACAGGAGAGGGTAGCAGATGGGAAGCAAGAGCTGATGGTTTTTGTTTTGAAACAGGGTCTTGCTTTATGCTGGCCTCAAACTCATGATCCTCCTGCCTCAGCTTCTGAGTGCTGGGATTACAGTCATGCATCATCATGCCCAGCAAGCTGGTGGACTTTTTGTTTTTGTTTGTTTGGTTGGTGGAAGTGGGGTTTGTACTCAGGGTTTTGCACTTGCCAAGCAGATACTCTACCACTTGAGCCACACCTCCAGTCCATTTTGTTCTGGTTTTTTGAGGGGGAGATGGGGGTCTCTTAAATTGCAAGACTCCAGATCTCAGCTTCTCAAGTAGCTACAGTAACAGGTGTGAACAACTAACCCCCAGCTCAGCTGGTGGGTTTTAAAGCTAGGAATAAGCTGAGTCTGTGTACAAGACAACAGTAGTTCACATTAAAGAAAGCTGGGCCCAAGGTGGCAGAGAAAGGCCAGCAGCATGGGTAAGAGCTTGATAGGACAGTGAGGAGCCCCTTTTCCACTCTAAGAAGGGAGGAGAGTGCTGTGAACCGTGGTTCTCATTCTTGAAGTCAGTGGTAAGAAAATGTGACACAACATGGTGACAAAAACTTTAGGAAATTTTTTCTGAGAAATTGTGAGGTCATGTGCAGAAAATGAAAGAATGTAGTGTGAAGAGAGTTTCTGAAAACCTCCAGAGCCTGGTCACCAGCTATCTGCATCCCCTTTAGAACCTAGCAAGTATAGGCAAGGCTCTCACAGGTAATTATTATACTCAACCCACCATTAACTGTCTGTGCTGGTTCTTGCCCATGCTAACCGAACGTTAGACTAAAGCTATGGACAGAGCGTGGTCAGGATGGAGGGGAGGCCGAAAGATAAGGTTTGGAGACACTATTCCAGTTCCTTCCATTCCTCACTTAAATTCCTGATGTCTAACTTGCCCTTAAGCTCATTAGCTGAATGAAAATTGGGATGCTAAAATAAGAAGACAGGAGTCTACAGTAAACTCTCAGGTTCTACGTGCAAGCCCCTCCCGCACCCCTCCACTCCCCGCCCCCCCACCCCGCCCCCTCCTGAGCAGCTTCCAGGTACCTCACAGGCCCTGACGTGCTCACTCTGCCAGTCTTCTCGGATCTTGTCCATTGTGTTGATGTGTGACATGTATGCTTTGTCTGCAATGGAAAGGAGGGGCCTGTCAAGAGTTGTGATCGGTTCAAAAGGCCCCATGGAGCTCTGAACACCGGAAGGTCATAATTACTCCCTCCTCCTCCTTTTTTTTTTTTTTTGGTAGCAGCCATGTTTGAATTGTTTTTGTTTTTACTATGTTTTATTAGCATTCATTAATAGTCCAAAGGGGTTTCACTGTGATAATTCCATAGATGAGTACAATGTACTTTGGACAAGTTCACCCCTCCATTATATTCCCTTAGTTCCCAGCCTGCCTCCCCAACTCTTACTTTCAAACAGCTTTTGGTGGGTTTCACTATGCTATTTTATATACATATATAAAATCCTATTCATCCCCCACCCAGGACACTGTTCTTCCCTTCCTCCTACTGTGGATCTATCTTTATTGTAAAGCTACCTTTCACGGAGACACAATTTAGAATAATGTAAACCCCACCAGTACACCTCCCCATCTACAGGAGCAGCTCACTCACCTGAGTCCTCCACTGCAGTCTTTGAAGTTGCCAGTTTCACAAAAAGCTGTGAGGACAAAAAAGATCAAGAGATCAGGAATGCTGAGCCAGGCTTCAGTAAGCAAAAGCCATATAAAAGCAATGACTATGCAGAAGCAAGTTCTAGTCAAGTCCTGTCTGCACTTCTATCATGAGCAAATATTCAACTTTCCCTGGAATCTTCTCACCATTAGAAAACAGCAGGCAGGCGCCAGTGGCTCACCTCTGTAATTCTACCTACTCAGGAGGCAGAGATTAGGAGGATCACAGGTTCAAAGCCAGCCCCTGACAAATAGTTCCCAAGACCCTATATCGAAAAAACCCATCACAAAAAAAAAAAAGGGGGGCTGGCGCAGTGACTCAAGGTGTAGCCCCTGAGTTCAAACCCCAGTACCACAAAGAAAAAAGAAAACAGCCATAAAGCCCTATGTCTGCCCTCTGGTTGCTGGTAATCTTATATTCAGATTTTATAGTATTAAATTTCCAATCCTCCCAAGCAAGAGGCAGCCCGGCAATGAAGAACTCATGGGCAGAGTTTTGAAAAGAGAATTAAAAAGGAAAAAAAAGCAGGTTTAATGCCATCACTTTTCTCCCAAATGGTTACATTTCTCTAGTGCTTTCCCCAACCCCAAAAATGTGACAAGGGTTTTTTTCTGGTTCGAAGGACCCCAACAGCCTGAAAAAAGATATTGCCATGAGCTGAGAGTGCAGGTTCATTTTCTATTAAGCTTTTTGTCACTGTTGTTGAGACAGAGTCTCACTATGTGGTCTAGCCGACCTTGACTTTGTGATCCTCCTGCCTCAGCCTCCTGAGTGCTGGGATTACAGAAGTACACCACCACTCCCGGTCCTTGGTTGACTTTAAATTGATAGACATAAATCTCAAATTTTTCAGGTTGTGGCCCTCCTAGGTACCTTTTCTTGTTGCTTTGGGTTTGCAGCGTTGGCACTCCGTTGGACAGCCTGCTCCGCCTCATCTTTGTCCCGGCATTTCTGCTCATAGTTCTTCTTCGCCTTTGTTATTATGAACAAAAAAGGACCAAGACAGGTGAGCAGACTAGCCCTGAAAAGCTGTCGCCTAGTCCTCCAAGCCCAGCACAAACAGGGCACTCAGGTTACTGCTGTGATCCCCACTAGACCACGGGCTCTCAGAAGACAAATGCCCTTTTGAACAATCTTTGAAAGGTCTCTCCAGCCATAGTGCTCTTCCACATTATGGAGGGAGTGGCAACTCGCTCAAGGAAGTAATAACTCCAATTTGGTAACACGAAGTGCAGGAGCTTTAAAAATTGACTAACATAAAAGATGGAAATTGAAGCAGGCAAAATCAAAATGTTTATGTGACTCTAAGGTGTGTAATCCAACGTACATGTAACCTTCCTAACCCTCAGATGTATTGCAATCACTTTGTCATCAGTACCAACTCATTCTAATTCTAATTAGGCCTCAGTATTCTAATATGTCTGGTCACAGTCCTGGGCAGTGGGGAGGGTGCCAGTACCATCGTTTCTTTCACCTTAGTAGAGTCATGTTCCTTTTAGACTTAAATAATTCTGTTTTACTTAGTTTAGAAGTAGGCCATGATTTCTCCTGAGTCAATATTGCTGCCAGGATTATATAGAAACAGCTCACAAACTATAATCATTAGTGAGTCAAGGAAATTATTTTGTTTCAACTCGAAATAAAGCTTAACTTGTTTAAACAAGGAAAAGCTTTGAGTCAAATAATTAGCTAATAAAATAAAAATGATAGGAACAAAACGCTTGACTAAGAATGAAGACACTCCCTTTGGAGTCCTTGTTTGGTTGGTTTCTCCCAGCCTGCCAGGAAACCAGAGACACAGTGTTGGAGGCTGAGGGTGCATGTTCAAATCCTAGTTGCTATTGTTCACATTATCTTGAATAAAGTAGCCTCTCATGCCTCAGTTTACCCATCTGTAAAGTAAGGATTTTATATATAAATGCACATAATAGATATTTATTCCCAAATACATATGAAAATAAAAATCAGATATAAATCGTATTTCTATACACGAAATTCAACACACAAAACCATTAAAATTCTGATAATAATTCAAAACAATGAAGTCTCCTTTGGAGCGAAGGTTTGTTCTCATTAAGTATGTCACTTGCTTCCCTATATTAATTGGCATCTCCTGCAGTTCAGTTAGGGTCAGATTTTCAGTAAATGAGCTTACAACTCTTTCCATATGCTGTGCATATAGGAATAGAAATCCATAATTTTTCCTAATATTCATGCAATAAGACCCATAGAAATTCTTTTTTATGCAACAATATATTGGACACAATTTCTCTCTATCAAGCATGATCTCTATAGCTCAAAACTTTTTTGTGGGAGTACTGGAGATCAAACCCAGAGCTTTGCACATACTAGGCAAGTGCTCTACCACTGAGATATACCCTAGCCTTTGGCTTTTTGAGATAGGGTCTCTATATGTAGCTCAGGCTGACCTTGAACTCACTGTGTAAACCAGGCTAGCCTTGAACTCTTGATCTTTCTGCTTCAGCCTCCCAAGTGCTGGGATGACAGTTGGGTGCCACCACTCCAGCTTTGACACATTCAATGGTTGTAAAACACACACACACACACACACACACACACACACAAACACACACATTTTATATATGTATACATATACATATATATTGTATATATACAGAAGTATGTGTATGGCATATATCCCATAATATATGGCTAAGTGGTGGATATTATCTTGTTTCCCATTTTTTTAGACATAGCAATACTCTATATTTTGAGTAACATGAATTTATCTCTACAGGACAAATTCCTAGAGGTGTAATTATCTGGCAAAATAGTACATACATCAGACTTCCCTCCAAAATGGATGCACTCGTTTATGCTTCTGCTGATAGTATATGAGAGTACTATTTCCTGACACTGTCACCAAGTTTACCTAATATTTTTAATCTTTTCTAACACTGTGGTGAAAATATCAGCATTTAGTTGCCTTATTTGCACAGCTTGTATTATTAATGAAGTGATTTATCCTTTCTACTTCATGTCTTTTTACCTACTTTTCTACTGGAACATTTTTTAATTTTAATTGGCTTCTAGAAGCTCAGTGTACATTGGGAACACTAACCAACTATAAATTAGAGTCACAAATATTTTTCCCCATGTTTCATGTGTCATAGATGTATAGGGTATTATTCCCTTCACTATAGAGCTATCTTAAATTTTAGTGTTGTCCAAGCTATTGATTTTTTTCTATCCTCTTTTGTTTTTTAATTTGGCATGTTAAGCAGTTCTTTCTTAATTGTATTTTTTAACACTACACAATATAGTCAACCCTTCCTCAGTTGTCAGTCACTAAATTATTTATAATTTTCATTATTACAAGTAATTGAACCTGGGTGCCAGTGGTTCATCCTGTAAGCCTAGCTATTCAGGAGGCAGAGATCAGGAGGATCTCAGTTCAAAGCCAGTCAAGGAAAATAGTTGTGACACCCTATCTCGAAAAAACCCATCATAAAAAAGGGCTAGTAGAGTGGCTCGAGGTGTAGGCCCTAAGTTCAAACCCCAATACTGCAAAACAAACAAAAGCAAAAATAAAACAAGAAGTCGACATGTTCATGCTTTTGTTTTTCTTATTTTGGATGATTTTGAACACAGAGTGTTAGTTTCTTAGCAGAAGATTGATGGGCAAAGGTCACATTTATGGATCCAAAAACACATTGCAAAAATGCACTTTTAAAAGAGGCATTAAAAGATGGAGCATATACACGATTCCTACATGTCTCTACATTAGTACAATTAAAACCTAGCATAGTGTATGAAGCAATCATAAGAAAACTGAAAGATGAGAGAAGGCAGGCTGGTTAATGACCTTAGACCAAAGAGCAACCCAACAGTGAGGTCCCTGGTTTCTTCTTGCCTCATATATCATGGACTGAGAGCCAAAGTAGCAGGCAACCGGAAACACCAATAGTGTCACATGCACACACACACACACACGCACACACACACACTAGCCAAAAGATTAGAAAAAGCCCAGCCTAGCAGAACATAACCTTTAGAAAACAATCATTTTCTTGAAGCTAAACACCATATAAAAATCTGCCCCAACACACAGACACATGCCAGCAAAGGCCAACTGACAGGTCTAAACTTCTATCATGGCCAGACTGGAAAGAAACACTCAGTTCCGCTGCTGAGTAGGCATCAGAAGAAAATTGGGAACTGAGATGTTTGATCCCACAAGGAGGTAACATGTCCACACGAACACTGGGCCAGTGGAAACCAGGTAGGGCACCTGAACTTCCACCTCAACCTGGCAGCAATGAGGTTCTCCCCCAACACTGTCGTGGTCTAATGAAGTCAGAACTTTGACCACCTTCCAGGACTAACAGGGCCACACCCACCTTGTGGTGTCAGTGGAGACTACGGGGAGACCTGGACTTTTACCTCAGATAGCAGTAATGAACCAATGCCTCACTTCCCCCTGCTAGAGTGATATCAGAGAAAGCCAGCTAAAACAGAAGGTTTAAATAAGATCCAGAGTCTTATGACCTAGTACTCACATCCAAAAATCAGCAGAATACACTCAAACCAAGAACCAGAAAGATATCAAACTAAAGAAAAAAGGCAGTCAACAGATGTTAACATCAAGATGATCGAGATATTTGAATTATCTGACAAAAGATTTTGCGTTTTCATTTTTATTTGTTGGGACTGGGGATTGAATCCAAGATCTCACAGATGCTAGACAAGTTTACTGAGCTACAACCTCAGCCCCTGTGTTTTCATTTTCTTTCTTTTTTTTTCTTCTTTTTTGGCAGTACTGGGGTTTGTACTCAGGGCCTCATGCTTACTAGGCAGGCACTCTACCACTTGAACCACTCCATCAGCCCTTCTGACAAAGATTATAAAGCAGTCATTATAAAAGTATTCAACAAGCAATACTTAAAAAATATAAATACTTGAAATACATAAAAAGTACATGGGATTTTCAAAGAAATAGAAAATCTCAGGAAAGAAATAAAAGATGGAAATTTTAAAACTAAAAAATACAATAGCATAACAAGAGAATGGAACAGACAAAAAATAAATAATAGAAATTACCTAACATTAACGAGAGAGAAAATAGGCTGAAAAACCATAACAGAGGCTCAGGGACCTTTGGCATGTTCCAGAAAGAGAAGAGAAGGAAGGTAAGCTGAAAACACACTTGAAGAAATAATGACTGAAAAGTTTCCAAATTTAGCAAAAAATATAATCTACATATTAAAGCTGATTAAATTCTAAACAAGTTAAGCCCAAAGAAATGAATTCTAAGACACATAACTGAACTTCTGAAAACTAAAAATAATGAAAATATCTCAAAACAGAGAGAATAATGACACCTTATCTTAAAGAAAAAAACTGGGGTTGGGGGATTTAGCTCATGGTAGATTACTCGCCTAGAAAGTACAAGGCCCTGGGTTTGGTCCCCAGCACTGAAAAAAAGCAAAAGAAAAACAAAAGAAGAAGAAGAAAGGGACAGAGAAAGGGAAGAAAGAAGAAAGGAAGGAAGGACAAAAAAAAAGGAAGAAAGAGAAAAGAAAAAAACCAACTTGAAGACAGTAAGTTTCTTATTAGAAACCATAGAGACCATAAGGAAGTAGCAAAATATATTACAAATGCTGAAGGCAAAGATTGTCAATACACAATCCCATATCTAGGGCTAGTGGAATGGCTCAAGTGGTAGAGCACCTGCCTAGCAAGCACATTCCATATCCAGTGAGTATATCCTTTAAGAAGAAGAAGAGGAAGAGATGGCTCAAACAATGTATGCACATATGAATAAATAAATAAACAATAATAAACAATAAGAAAGATATAACTGCAAAGATTTAAAAAAAATGAGAAAGATATTGGACATAGTAGTGCAAGTCTGTAATCTCAGGACTGAGGAGATTGAGGAAGGAGGATGAAGAGTTTGAGGCCAGCATGGGCTACATAGCAAGTTCAAGGCCAGCCTCAGCTACATTGCAAGATCCTGTCTCAAAAAAAAAACGGGAGGCAATGAGGATGTAGCTCATGTGCAAGGCCCTGGGTTCCATTCCCAGCACCACAAAAAGGAAGAGAAGTCAGAAAATAGAATGGTGATTGCCAGGAGCTGGGGAGACAGGGAATGGTTTCAGTTTCACAAGATGAAAAGAGGTAGGCAGTGGTTATGGCTGCACACGATTATGAATGTATTTAATACTATTGAACTCTGCACTTACAAATGGTTAGGAGAGTAAATTTTAGGTTACACGTATTTTATCACAATAAACAAGGTAGAAAAAAATGGAATTACAGGGAAATCAAGATACTCTTAGATGAAAGAGGATTTGTCACTAGCAGAGTTCTCTAATCCAAAGAAAACTGTATAAGAATAAGCCTTGGAATATTCAGAGGGGAAAAAAAAGAGAACATGGCAAACAAATACAATATTCTTTCCTTCTCTCAAATTTTCTAAATTATTTTGTCCGTGGAAGCAAAAATTATAACACTGGTTTTATGGTTTAGTTCTGAAGTATCACCCAAAGGCTCATTGCTGAAGGTTTGGCCCCCAGTGCAGCAGTGTTCAAATGTGGTGCTTTTGGGAATGATTGGATCCTGAGGGCTCTGACCTCCTCAGCAAGGTCAGTGATGGGCTCATAATTTGATAATTTGATGGGCTATTGAGAGGTGATGGAAATTGAGGAGGTGGGACCTAGTTGAAGGGAGTGGGTTTTTGGGAGCTATATCTTACCCCCAGCTCCTTCCTTGCTCTCTCTTTATGCTTCCTGCAGCTTTACCCCACTTCTACTCTCCGCCATAAGTTTGGCCTCACTTGAGGCCCAAACAATGGCACCAAGTAACTATGAATGGAAACCTCTGAAACCTATGAATAAGTTTTTCCTCATTTTAAGTTGTTTCCTTGGTCTTTCTTTCCTTCCTTCCTTTCCTCCTTACCTCCTTCCTCCCTTCCTTTTTCAACAGGGCCTCACTATGTAGCCCAAGATGGCCTTAAACTTACGATCCTCCTGCCTCAACCTCCCAAGTGCTGGGATTACAAATATGTACCACCACACTCAGTCTGTTTTCTCAGGTATTTTGTCACAGCAACAGGAAACTGACTAACACAACTGATATAGCTCTAAATAAAGGTAGAGGAAAAAAATGAAGAAAATTATATTTTAATAAGGCTTTCTCTTTAATTGTGAGAAAACTTGCCCTAGGTTTCTCAAAGCATAACACCTCTGGGGGGAGAAGTCATATATTCACCAACACAGTTCTACACTATCATCATTCCTATTTATCGGTTGCTTTTGATCAAAGAAAAAAGCAAAGTAGCAGAATGGACTGCATTTGCCATCAACATTGGTGACACTTTCATACCATGACATAGCCAGAACCATCATGATGATACATCTGTACTAAGATACAGTCACACCTGTTCTAACAGTAGAATATGTTGTACTCATTCATGAAAAGATTCCTGAGAAGCTAGACTGAGATTCCAAGTAACTTGTCTTACTTATCTTGCCAAGCTTTTTTTGTGTGGGTGTGGGTGTGGTTTTTTGTTTTTTTCTTTTTTGAGGTACTGGCACTTGAACTCAGGGCCTACACCTTAAGCCACTCCACCAGCCCTTTTTCGTGATGGATTTTTTTCAAGATAGGGTCTCCCAACCTATTTGCTCAGGCTGGTTTCGAACCGTAATCCTCCTGATCTCTGCCTCCTGAGTAGCTAGGATTATAGGCATGAGCCACCAGCGCTGGCTTGCCAAGCATTTCTAATAAATTCCTTAAAGAAAAGAAGACTTTTACAATTCCCACATGTCTTAAAACAGGAAATGAACACTCAGTAAAATAAGTAAACATTCAAAATTCAAATAACCACAGAGTAAAAGCTTAAATACAAGATAAACTGTATATATACTATATGATTTTATGTCTTGGCCTCAAAACTTAAATTGACTGGCTTCATTTTCCCAGGTTACCAGAAAGATAACACCATTGTATTTTCATCATCTCATTTCATCTTTAACTTTCCAAGCCCTTGAAAAGAAAGCAAGCCAATCCACTAAAGATTGTTGTTCTGATAAATAATGACATTGTTGAACTGTTATTTGAGTAGAAATATGCTTATATACAGCACAGGATTTTAGAAAATGTCACCATTACTAAAAAAAGGCAATAAAGTATGACTCACATCCATGGTTTTCTTGAATTGTGAGTTTCTTTGTTTATGGGCAGCATCCATTACAAGCTCTGTCTGTGAAGAGAGTAAAAGTACTCAATTAAACACAGAAATTATTATTAATACCTGCTTATCCTGAGAGCGAAGCATTCAACGTGCATTGCTGCATTTAATCCTCACGCCATCCAGGAAGTAAGTATACTATTTATTACCCCATCTCACAAATGAGGAATCTGCAAGACACAGATCCTACATAATTTGCCCAAGGTCTTATGGCTGGTTAATGATGGTAGCCACCTTTGAACTTGGGCCATCGGACATCATCATTCAGTGATCACCTTAGAGCACTCTCTCCAGTAAATCTGGAATAAAGAAACTTTGGCTTCAAAAAGGAATTTTAGGACTAGGGACATGACTCAGTGGTAGAGTGCTAGCCTAGCAAGTTTGAGGCCCTGAGTTCAATCTCTAGTATCAAAAAAAAAATTGAAAATTTTGTTAAAGCATCATTTATGTTTTAAAATGGAAGTTCATTCTGCAAGTTTATGTCACAAACTTTTTCATTTTTTGAGACAGTTCATTCTGTAGCCCAGACTGGTCTACAAAACTGGTTGAATTCCAAGTTAGATTTGTAATCAAATGCAACAATACAGAAACAAGAACTGAGAGATTAAGAAAGCATGTCGAGGGCACCTTGACTTCTGCCTTCCATTTGACCTCTGGGTGTGAAACCACACAGGAAGAATGTGACCTTTTCCTCTGAAGAAGATATAAGAAAGTAGAACTTCACCCGGAACTTGTGATCCTCCTACCTTAGTCTCTCAAGGGCTGGGATTACAGGCACATACCACCATGCCTGGCACCAATGACACACCCTTTACAGCAAGGTACCCAGGCAGCATGAAGGGAATGTGTTGGCCGGACAGCTAAGAGAAGTTGCTGTTATATTCTTTACCCTATCTAACCCAACAAAGGTTCACTTGAGAGAGATTTCTGCATTGTGGCTATTATGTTAGAACTTTCATTACTCAAAATATGGTGCAATAACAAAGATGTACATACCTCTCAGATATAATCAGAGTAGCTCCCATTTATCAAGCACTTACGTGATAAGCAGTTTTCATGCATCACAACAGTGGGAGGTGCTATTATCTCCATTTTCTTGATGGTAATGAACTTGATTAACTTACCCAAAGTAATAAAGTCAGCAAGTAATAGAGCTGAAATTGAACCCAGGAGCCTGACTCCACTGCCCTTGTTCCTACTCATTACCCTAAATGACCATCATCCTTACAATCACTCTATAAAACCAAATAGTGTAAAAAATTGAGAGATGCAATAATATAAAATGAGCAGTGACACTGATTTTGTTTTAAAAAATGATAAAAAATTACATTGCAAGTTTTTGTCCATTATCATAAAACACAAACGTGGATGAATATTCAAGATATTTGGATGAAATACTTGAGGTAGTCTCACTTCAAACACAAACTTTGTGGAATACATAAAATTCCCTTGAGGGAGCCCCAATGGGGCCTTCAAGAGCTCAGCAGTCATCTTCCAACCCAGGTGAAAGAGAATTACCAGGGGGTGGCTATTCTCCTGCTAATGGGGAAGATGGTAGAGACACAGAGAACAGTCAGATCTTCAACTGGAGCCTCACATGGCAGATCCTTGTCATGGCAGGCAGGGAGTTATGATTGACATGAGTAATTATGTCCTGGTGCCACAGGGAAGAGCTGGATTTATTTATTTGGTAATGGTTCCTGATTCTCCCAGGCCACAGAAGCAGATCAGTTAGCAATACTAGTCTATGGCACAGTCCTTTTAGTCCAAGTATAGACTTTGTTTCTCTTCTAGTTGGAGCTGCTTCTATTTTATAGTTGGTGGCCCAAGATAGGTCTCACTATCTCCAAGTTCCACACAGCATCTGCTTCAAGCACCTCTAGGGTGTTGAAATTTCCATCATTAGCCAAACCTTTTCATTTCCTATCTGTCTGCAGAGATTCCTGGCATTCAACACTTGGCAGGAAGTTAGGGGCATGGCTCAAGTGGTAGAGCGCCTGCCTCACAAGCATGAGGCCCTGAGTTCAAACCCTAGCACCAAAAAAAATAATAATAAGTTGGCAGGAACCTAGAAATCAGCCACCCTACTCTAACCCAATAAGGGTGACACCTGGGTAGCTTTGCTCAAGGTCACTCAGGAAGTTAGTGGTAGGTCTTCAGGCATCAGGTCAGCCTCTGTCTGCTACACCACCTTGATCTGTGTCTCCTCGTGTCCGTGATCACGAACAGGGTGACCTACTCATGGTGACCCCAGTGAGTTAAAGGTTCTCTTTCAGGTCTTTTTGAGGAAGAGTCTCTTCCGGGACTCAGACTTTTTCTGCTCAGACCAAATCCAGTGGAAATTTCCAATTCTGTATTGGTAACACAAAGGAATGCAAAAACACAATCATCTCGCTATAGGATGGGAGAAGCCAAGGGGAAAGGGGAAAGAAAGGAGAGATTTGTGAATAACCCAAACAACCTGCAGGCAAATCGCTGAAATAGGTATTTGTGGCCCATTTTCCTGTCTGCCTATGTTCACACTGTGTTCTGAAAACTAGGCACATCCCTCTAGGTAACACGTTGGCGCCTGGCTTTGGAGATGACTGTCTACACAGGCAGCACAAAATCCTCCTATGACCCTCCTAAAACTGTGAGCACCAGAGGATAGAGTGACTGATATGTGTGGTCTTTGGCATGCTAGGGATATTTCTGGGCTGGGGAAAAACCTCAGCATCCTTAAATGTCAAGACTCCTGAGAATGAGACCCCAGGACCCCTCTGGGGTGAGAGCCTCCCCTCTCACTACCTCACCTACAGGTCTTTCACTGCTGGGTTTATTGGCAATATTATTTCCTTTAGGAGGCTTTCCCTAGCCCCATAGATGAGGTTATGTGTCCCCCTGTGTGTTCAGATGACACCTTCCTTTCTGCTACCACCACAGAAGGCTCCTCATGCTTTAACCTGATTCTGAGTCACATCAGTCTGTCTGACCATGCTCTATGCTTAGTGGGAGTCAAATAACCATGTCCATCTTAGTGTCTGCCCTCAGAAAACATTAGTTGTATTTGGGAACAGCCATAAATGTCTGGCCAGCCATTCTACCCACACTTCCCTGCCCTAGTTTTTTAAAAGAAACCAACTGATGGCTTTCTTTGATAAGTTAAAATGGCTTAATTTCCAAGAAGTGGAAGACCAAAAGCATGTAGTTTCACCATTAAAAAATGAGAAGTTAGCATTGGAACATTTTTTTCCTAGTGTTTAAAAAAATTCTAAATACAGAAGTGGTGCAACCCCAGAATTCATTGTGACACATAAAATTACAAATTCATTAATAAACTTTGGACTTCTCAAAGTTCTGAGGGTATTTTCCTGCTGTAGTGGGAACTTGGAGGACAGAGGGAATCAAGCACAAAGTACTTTATTGCTTAACAGAATTCAGAGCATGTTCTAACTATAACTATTTGGTCCATGTAACTTGTTAAGAGGGGAAGTTTCAGAAGCCTTGCAAAATTAACAAAATTCTCCAGGAAAGGACCAGGCTACTCAAAGACACTTAAAAACATGAGGAAATGACTCTCCACTCCTCATAATGGAATCATGTGTGCCTGGACACTGCTTGTCTAAGGCATTTTGCTTCTGAAAAACTGTTATTCCCCTAGAGAGGAGGGCAAGTCTGGCAATGTCAAACAAAAGGGTCTGACCTTCTAGTGTGTATAACATACATACTATTTCTGCTTGGAAAAAGGTTTGGTGCCAGATGCACCCCTCAAGCCTGACACATAGGCTTGAGATAATATGTGAAAGTGCCTGACATGGTATTCCTGAGATGTTCACGTCTGCCCTGTCTTCCTGGTAAGGGGCACAGCACAGGACAGGCTAGGAAATGGGAAGAGGGAGTATTTTGCAAAGAGAACCTCATGACATGACAATAGGCAGGCAGGCTCTTAAGATAATGCCACCCACCCAGAAGCCAGTGGCTACCAAAGAAATTGGACCTAGAGTCCAACTTAAAACCATGGCAAAATCACCGAGATTGAGGGAAGGGTAGAATCAACCCCAACAGCGGCTGTTTACTAGATATACATACTTCAGACAACAACCTTAGGGAACAGGGAAGGGCCAGGATGCAGAAAGGTTTCCAAAGGGACCTCCAGGAAGAAGAAATAGGTCACCAAAAGACTATACAGAGTTGTTCCAGGAGACCGAGGTAGAAATCCTTGGGTGCCAGACAGGGAAGAATTCATCCCCCATGTGAGGGCCAGAGTCTCAGTCCTGAATATGTAAAGAAATTCTGGAAGGCTCCTACTTGGGTTCAGGGTCAACCCAAATATACAAGTCTTTCAGGAATGAAATAGCTTGATTCCTATAACTCCCTAAACATTTGTCAGTATTATTGACTCTCTCTCTTTTTTTTTTTTTTTTTGGCAGTAGTGGGGCTTGAACTCAGGGCCTTCACCTTGAGCCACTCCACCAGCCCTTTTTTGTGAGGGGTTTTTCGAGATAGGGTCTTACAAACTATTTGCCTGGGTTGTCTTAGGACCATGATCCTCCTGATCTCTTCCTCCTGAGTAGCTAGGATTACAGGCGTGAGCCATCAGCACCTGGCTAGTTTATTAACTCTTGTTCACTCCCTTCTCCTTCCATGTCAATAAAAACAAGCCTGCTTTGCATCATTACTTGCAAGACAAAAACAACTTGGATATCCCAGGATCTCAGTTTCTCTATTTGTAAAATAGGATTATTGGACTACATTGTGGACTTCAGACAGATCATGAGTCTCCTCCACTTCTCCACCCATCCCTCACTGCCTTGCCTAAGAGGAGTGTGGTCTGGGAGCCCATCAGCTGGGATGTGCTAGACATACACTGAAGCCAGAGGGGTCCCTTTTCCATCATAGTTTTAGCGGTGGCAGCAGGTCTGAAAAGATGAGGCATGCTAACTGGACCCCTGAATCCTGCAGGAATTTTTAAAAGGAGGACAGGCCTGGGTTGCAGAAATGGGTGCAGAGGCATAAGCACCTAGACTGAGTCCCCACATGGGGATTCCAATGAATGATTTCTCAGGTTAGGAAAAGAACATGAATGGGTTGGGGTATAGCTCAGTGAAAGAGCACTTATCTAGTATTCTTGAGGCCTTGGGTTCAATCCCTACCACAGAAAGAAGAAAGAGAGGGGAGGGAAGGAAGGAAGGAAGGAAGGAGGGAAGGAAGGAAGGAAGGAAGGAAGGAAGGAAGGAAGGAAGGAAGGAAGGAAGGAAGGAAAGAAGGAAGGGAGGGAGGGAGGGAAAAGGGGGAAGAAGGAGGTAAAGGTTTGATTGCATCAGGGTGGAAGCTGTTTTTCTACAGAAGGAAAGGCAACATTTCAACAAATGCACAAAACCAACCTTTTTCCGTTGGACCTTTTGCTTTTCCCTGAATTCTTCCATCTTCCTGGCTTCTTCTCTTAGAGTTTGTGCAAGCTGAATGTGACATTGGGCCACATTGTCTACTTCTGCAAAAAGAAATTTTTAATAAGACAATAATCAAGGTCTATATATGTCCAAATTCAAATATACAACACTATATAAAATTATACACACACACAAACTACTAAGCAGAACAAGTGGTAAACTCAAGACTGGTTCAAGGGCTTTGGGCATGGTTAGCAACCATAAGGCCCTGAGTTCAAACTTCAGCACCACCAAAAATTTTAAAAACTAACTAGGTGCCAGTGGCTCGTGCCTGTAATCCTCGCTACTCAGGAGGAAGAGATCAGGAGGATCTCAGTTTGAAGCCAGCCTGGGCAAATAGTTCTAAAAAACCCATCACGAAAAAGGGCTGGTGAAGTGACTCAAGGTATAGGCCCTGAGTTCAAGCACCAGTACCACAAAAAAAAATAAATAAAAAATTTATCAAGCTCCCTCATGTTCCCACCATGGCCCTGGACACTAAGACAAAGGCTAAAAATTGTTTCACTTAGCATCCTGTCATTGTTGCTAACCTGCTGTACGTATGCCCAGGGCTTGGGAGGAAGACGCAGCCAAGGTTCCAACTCACAAAGTTTACATTCCAGGAAACATTACTAATGCTACCACAATTTCACAGTGTTTCTTCCTTCTCTTTAGATGACCTCTCGGTGTTCTTTCCGTCTCTAACCGCTCATGAGCCTGATGAGTTAAAGAGGGAACAACACACCTTCTATCGAAGAGTTAAGAAGAATGTTTATTTGGCTAACATTTATACCTGGGATATGGTGGCATATTTATTTCTGATTTCCTCTGTGGCCTCTGGCTTGTAACTTCCTCCCCAAGGAGGATCATGAAAGCCCTAATCCTCCTCTGCCTTTAGCTGGCCATAAAGAAATTATCTGGCCTCCTTGGCATGACAGGAGATCAGATGACCTCCTCATTCCAGAAGGTTCCTGTTCCATACCTGGAGGTAGGAATGCTGCACAGAGAAGCCAAGAAGAATCAGAATCGACCGGCTTTGCTGGGTTTGTCCACTCAATCTATTAGTAAATGAGCCGAGGCAATGAAGTCTCTTTAAAAACCCGAATGGACTGGGTCCCAGAAGTTTCCCAGCCACTAAACACACGGAGATTCCAGGAGGGTAGCAGTGGCATTCTCTGAAAAACCATGGAAGTTCCATGCTTCTGCTCCCCCATCAGCCGCACCCCCCATCTGTATCCTTTGTAATATCCCTTGTTATAAACCAGCCGGTGTGAGTGAACCATTCAAGCAAATTAATAAAGGAGGGATTACAGGAACCCTGATTTATAGCCAGTTGGTCAGAAGCACAGTTAAAACAAACTGGGGCTTGGGAGTGGCCACTATAGTGGGGGTGCCCCTGGGACTGAGCCTTCCACTTGTGGCATCTGACACTATCTCTAGGTTGATAGTCTGGGAAGAGAATTGGGTGAAGAATACCAGCTGGTATCAGCTGCAGAAGAAATTGCTTACTTGCTAGCAGTAGACATCTTCACACATCTGTGCCAGAAGTTTTCTGTGCTAATTGTTGTGGTGTGAAGAGCAGAGGAAACAGACACCATGTTTGTTCAGATACAACACCATCAGGCTACAGAAACACTAGACACATGTATCATATATACCATGCCTGTTAATGTCCTGAGTCCCCAGCATTCTAAAGGACAGAAAACCTCAGAGGCAGGCTCAGAGCAACAGGCCTGGGGAACAAAAGCTGTAGCTGAACTTGACCTCTTGAAGAGTAAGTGCTGAGCCTCACCCTGAATATCCCAGCTCCCAGTTATCACCACACTAGAATAATCAGTAAATAAAAATTTGCAGGTTGAATTCCAAGTTAGATTTACAATCAAAAACAACAATCCAGAAACTAGAATTTAGAGATTAAGAAAGCATGTCGAGGGGAGGGCATGGTGACTTCTGCCTTCCATTTGATCTCTGGACTTGGGAGCCAAATAAATAATTACCCATCTGAGAAAAGCCAAGATGGCCACACAGCAAGACAATGCCTCTTCCCCATGAAAAAGATGCAGGAAAGAACTTCACCCCAGCAGACATGAACTCTGATAGTTTCTCTCTCTCTCTCTCTCTCTCTCTCTCTCTCTCTCTGTGCACTGGGATTTGAACTCTAGGCTTCATGCTTGCTAGACAGGCACTCTTCCACTTGAGTCACTCTACCAGCCCTGCTGACCATTTTGGCATTTCTAAACCATCTGTTTCCTTTCTTTCTTTTTTTTTTTTTGGCAGTACTGGCATTTGAACTCAGGACCTTACACTTGTTAGGCTTGCTAGGCAGTCACTCTACTGCTTTCTTTGCCATTCTACAAGCCCTTTGTATTGGGTTTTTTTCGAGATAGGGTCTCATGAACTATTTGCCTTGGGCTGGCTTCAAACCATGATCCTCCTGATCTCTGCCGCCTGAGTAGCTAGGATTACAAACGTGAACCCCAGCCTCTGTTTCCTTCCCGAATCAGCCTTTATCACTCTTGAAAAGCATGATAAATTTAGAATACCCATGCAAAATAAGAAAAAAAGTCCAACAATGAGGAAACTCCCTCCCACGGGGGATCTCTTCCTAAGAGGATGAAGGAGAAAAATGGAGAAGGGACCCTGTCTTTTCTAGGATATAGCATCCTGACTCTGGGGGAAAAAGAATAAATAAGAATTAAGGAGATGGGCTGGTGGAGTGGCTCAAGTGGTAGAGCGCCTGCCTAGCATGCATGAGTCCCTGTACCACCAAAAGAAAAGCATTGTAGAATGAACAGCATGGACAACCTCGAAGGGTGCCAATCCCAGTGTGGTCCCTGCACCAGTGACCTTAGCCTCAATTGGGAACTGGAGAGACATGCAGGCTCTCAGGCCTCACCCCAAACTTCCTGAGTTGGAAATTCAGGATGGGCCCAGGAATCTGTGTTAATAAACAAGCCCTCCATCCGGCTTAGAGCACTGCTCTAAGAAAGCCAGAAGCATGTCACGATGCCCAGGTATGAAGGATCCTCTGCTCATTTCAGCTAGTTGGTTTTTTTGTTATTTAATTTCACCCAATATGAATTTTCTATTTACACTAAAACTTGACTTTATGACAGACAGAATTTACCAAGGACAGCAAATACAGTTTTTAAAAAATAACTTACGCTGTTTGAAGACTTCAAGGGCCCGCTTCAGGGTGCTGGAAACCAAACACATATATAATTTTAGTTCTGGAAATCACAATCCTATCATAATGCTTTTACATAGGTCTCTCTGCCTGTATCTTAATTTAAGAGCCTACAGATTCATCTTTGCCTGTGAGCTTAAGAAGACAGTAAATCCAATTTCCTCAAACCCAGGCATAAGCAGTTCTTCACGGTCACCTGAGTAGGGAAAGAGGCCAAAACTCTTCATGCTTCATTTTCCCTGATGATAATGCAAGAATTATGGCCCCTTTCTCATAAGAATATCAGTTATTCTTCAAAGTATGGCAATTAGAAATATGAAAACGAGGCAATAAAGGAAGAGTTCAAACCCTAGCTATGGATGCCTCTTTCTTCATTTATTCAATCAATCATCGTATACTTATTGACTGGACACTAGGGGTCAGGGATTGTGTCCAATGTCAGAGATTCAATGGTACAAGACAGACATCATCCCAAACCTCAGAGCATAAAAGAGGAGACAGTAAACAACGTATAGTGCATTAGTTTTTCGGTTAATGAATAACAAGCTTAGTGGCATCCAATATGCACACCTATTATTTCACAGTATGGGTGGATTAGCAATCTGGGCATGGTTTAGCTGGATTCTATGGTAATAGACTCACAGGCTGCATTCTCATCTGCAGGCTTGACAGGGAAAGAATCCCCTAATAAGTTTACTCAAAGTCTAAAGATAATATTTTGCTTTTATCCTAAACAATGAAATGCCCAAGAATGCTTTAATACTGATTATCCTTCCCAGCAAGTTATCTGTTATTACCATCCAATATTTTTGTTCCATCTTCTTTCTTTTTCCAGGGGGTTGGGGATAACTGGGGTTTGAACTCAGGGCCTCACGCTTGCTAGACATGCACTCTACTATTTGAGCCACTCCACCAGCCCTTTTCTGTGTTGGGTATTTTTGAGTTAGGGTCTTGTGAACAATTCGCCCAGCACTGGCCTTGAACCTTAATCCTGGGATTACAGGCATGAGTCACAGGTGCCCAGCTTCATCTTGTTTCTTAAAGTCCCCCAACTTAGTCAGGTGCTGATGGCTCAGGCCTGTAATACTAGCTACTTGGGAGGCTGAGATCAGCAGGATCATGTTTCAAGGCCAGATCCCATCTCCAAAATAACCAGAGTAAAATGAACCAGAGCCATGGCTCAAGTGGTAGAGTGCCTGCTTTGCAAATGTAAAGCCCTGAGTTCAAACTGCAATACCACCAAAAAAAAAAAAAAGTCCACCAACTTAACATATGAAACCCTTCAAAGTATGGGCTCCTATACGAAGCCAACCCTATACACGAGGGAAACTGTTCCTAAAGTAACTACCACATTCTCGTCATTTCTGAGGATGCAGAATTCAATGAATGGTTAAAGAATAAATTATTATGGTACAGGAACCTCACATTGGTATGAGAACTATAGTCTGGTACAAAGACTCTCTCTCATGGCTATTACAAACCATAAAATACATAAATATATAATTTTATATTTTATGCATTATTTTATAAACATTTTTATTTAAAATATACTAGTTTATAAATATATTAATAACAAAAAGCCCTTCTATTAAATTTCTTTTTTTTTTTTTGCAGTATTAGGGTTTGAACTCAGGGTCTACACCTTGAGCCACTCCACCAGTCCTTTTTTGTGATGGGTGTTTTCAAGTACAGTCACATGAATTTTTTGCCCAGGCTGCCTTCGAACCATGATCCTCCTGATTTCTGCTTCCTGAGCATCTAGAATTACAGGTGTGATTCCTGGCACCTGGTAAATCAATTCAATATGGATTAAAGAATTTTTTGTTTTGGTGGTACTTGGGTTTGAATTCAGGGCCTATATGCTTGCTAGGTACATGCTCTACCACTTGAGCCATTCCCCTGGCCCTCTATTAAATTTCTAGTGTAAAATTAAATGAGATATAATCCTACTTATGAAAATATATACATATAAAGGCTTCAAGGAAAATAGAAATATTAATGAGTTATAGCTTCACGGCCCATTTTTGCCTTCTTTATGGCTACTGAAAGAATTTTACTGTCATAAATTTAGGGAAAAAATTGAAAAAATTTTTTCTCCCAACACAGTGCAACCTAGAGGTCAACTCCATCCGCTGAACAGGTAGGGGCTCTGGGCAGTCTTAGGCAAAACAGACACATGCCAGAAAGATACATGGCACGTACTTGATCTCAGACTGTCCACATGGCTTCTTCTTGGAGAGGCTGAGCAGATCTTTGCCATATTTCTCTTCGATCGCTGCCCTAAGGGGAACAAAAGAGGGTCATGAGTCCTGCCTAGGACTGACTCTTAGTTAATACATGCATGGCCCTCCCCTTGAAGGAGACCTGACCCTTTACTGTAGAAGTCCAGATAGATCATTATTCCCTAAAATGCAAGATTCTCCCTATAGAATGCAGAACAAGTATAAGACCAGTGACTGTCATCTCTAAGGTGGTGCTCTCCAGCTGGAAGTCCCTAGCACAGACATCATAGCCAAGCTGAACTGTTGTTTGTTTGTTCATGTGTTTGTTTATTTGTTTGTTTTAAGGTATAGTTTCCCTATGTTGCCAAGGCTGGCCTTGAACTCCTGGCCTCAACTGATCCTCTCGCCTCAGCCTCCCAGGTAGGTGGGACTATACAGGCAAATACCACTGAGCCTGGCTGAGCATGTTTTTAAAGTGGAGTAAGAGGTGTACCTACCATGATGCACCTGTGAGGCCCAGCCATCCTCCACCTTTCCCAATAGGACGCTCTGCCACTCTGCAGAGTTCCTCCTTCAAAGTCATTTCAAATATATCCTCCTTTTGCCATCCTCTGTTTCCTTTGCTGTCACTGTCTCCACTGTTTGTCACAGCCCCAGCATTATCCAAAGCATGCTATCAGGTTAAGTTGACTTAGGCTTGACTTCCCCACTTTCTTTCTTCAGAGTCTTAAAAAATTCTACAAGTAGTAAGTGAATACATTGAAAGATCCAAACAACACAAAGGCAAAAGATCTAAAGCATGGAAGTCCCCTCCATGTTCTTCTCCAACCCCACTACTTCTGTGTGTGTGTGTGTGTGTGTGTGTGTGTGTGTGTGTGGTGTGTGGTACTGGGGTTTGAACTCAGGGCTTGACAGCCTGACACTTGCTGGGTAGGTGCTCTACCACTTGAGCCACTCCGCCAGCCCTCCACCCCTACTTCTCTCCCCAGGGGTAGTCACTGCTGAGTTTGGTATGTGTCTTTTCCCATCCTCTTCCTCTGCATTCGTACCTACCTCTCACATCTACACTTACACAGAACTTTTTCTGTTTACCTAATTGAGATCACTCTACTGTCTGCTGTTCTGTTTTCACCCAGTAATACATTGTGTAGAACTTGTCTTATCAGTTCACACAAATCCACAGTGCTCAGAATCCACAGTTTTCCTTGTGAAACTTCTCCTGATTTGCTGCCAGGTTTTCATTATTAGGAGAAGAGCCGCACATTGGTCATACATCCACTGGCACTTGGGAGTGTTAGGCTAAGAGTTCTGAGAAAGCAGATTCACAGGTCATGCAGTTTAAATTTTGAAAAATATTACCAAATTGCCCTCCAAATGCTTTCTCACTTTTTACTCACACCACAAGTGTTTAAGAGTTTCCACTCCCAGGAATCCTCTGTCACGCTGGATATTAATGATCTTTTCATGGGAATGAATGTTAAAAAAAAAAAAAGAATCGAAGCCAAGCACGGTGGCATACACCCATAATTCACCACTAAGGAGGCTAAGGAAGGAGGATCTCAAATTCAAGGCTAGCCTGTGCTACACGGTGAGACCCTGCCTCAAGCTCACACAAATAGTTTTTGGAATACCAAAAACTATTATTTATTTATTTTGCAGTGCTGGGGATCGAACCCATGGCCTTGTACACGCTAGGCAAGCATCCTGCCTTTTGGCTACAACCCCAGCTTTAAGACCATGTCTCAAAAAAGGGGGGGGACGGGGGAAAGATGCACTTGAACTCATAAGAAACTATTTCTACCTTTCTGAGCCCCTGTTCACTGTATACATGTAATATCTAAATTATGATACTTTGCAATGAACATTAATTTTTTTTTGGCAGCACTGGGATTTGAACTCAGGGCTTCACACTTGCTAGGCAGGCACTCTACCACTTGAGCCACTCCACCAGCCCCAAACACTAAATATTTTAAATACAAAAAGATATTAAGGCTATTTTCATTTTTTAAAAAGCATATAATGTGTATTTTATCCTTTCAACATCTCCCCATTAAAAGTGCTTGAGAGTCTTTTGTGGTTTGCAGGAAAAGACATTAGTCTAACTTTCTGACTCTCAGACAACCACAGGTAGACTCTGTTCCCCATGGAAAGTCCGAGAACATGGTAAGCAATAACATCCAGCAGGCACAATGGTGCCTGGAGAAAAGAAGGCGCTTTACTGAAGTGAAACTGCAGTCTCATCCTCCTGAAGCCACTGGAACCACTGTGGGGACAGGATCCCCAGCAAACAGGAAGCCATGGGTCCCAGGGCCTGCAGCCAAGGAAGGAATTTTCAGAAATCACCCAGGTCTAGCGAGGCCTTCCCCTCGTCCACTCTCCTCCCATCCATCCCTGTGTTCCCCCACATCTGCTCATCCATTTATCATGTTCTGAACACCCACAATGTCCCAGGTCTCGCTTTAGGTGCTAAGAGAACAGAGATAACTGAAATATAAAGGCTGCCTAGCGAACGCATTAGTCTGTGGAAGAGAGAGATGTAAACCAATTAACTGTATTAATTGGACAAATAAATAAATTCACTGTGACATCTCTACATGTGCATATATCACGCTTTAATCAATTCCATCCTCCTTACTGCCCTTTATTGCCCTCCCTTTTCTCCCCCCTCCCCCCAATCTCCTCCCCTTCCTTTAATAGCCCTTCTTCTGCTTTTAGCTCATCTTTTTGTTTTGTTTTTTAGCGGAACTGGAGTTTGAACTCAGGACCTCACACTTGCTAGGCAGATGTTCTACCACTGGAGCCATTCCTCCAGCCCTTTTTTGTGTTGGATATTTTTGAGATAGTGTCTTCCCTTTTTTTTTTGGAGACAGAGTCTCACTATGCATCCCAGACTGACTGCAAACTTGTGATTCTTCTCCCTCAGCTTCTTGAGTGCTGGGATTATAGGGATATACCACCATGCCTGGCTTTTTTATTGTTGTATGCCTGTTTAGTTTCCACACATGAGAGAAAACACGAAATAGTTATCTTTCTGTGTATGGCTTTTTTCATGATATTCTCCAGTTCCAACTATTTTCCTGCAAATAATGATACTATTCCTCTCAGCATTTTGCTGGCCACCCTTTCTTCACCAAGCTCTCCTTGAGAACCCCAGCTCACTTTGACCTCTCCCTTGACTGAATTCCAGACCAAGAGTTACTCCACATGCCAGTTCCCCTTCAGGAACCCATGGCCAACATCACCAGATGCAGCCTTTGCCATCAGGTTTGAAACCAGCCCGAGATGATCTCCAGCCTGGAGCTCAGGCAACCTCCAGATCAGAGTAGGCACCTAAGATGAAGATGGACGTAAAGCCTGATCCTTAGCGGTTTTGCTCACTTTCACTGTATAGGCCACTCCTAGCACGTCAACCAAACTATGAATTCCTTGGGAAGATGCATGTTTTTAGCTCAGAGGGATCTTACAGAATCAAGCACAACGACTTCCTCATACTGACGAGAACACAGATACCTTGTTGAATCTCATTGCTGGTTACGAGGGAACAGGGATCTGACTCATCCCGGTGTTCCTTTTCCCTTGGAGGTCTCAGCTTCTAGCCCATTCTGTTGGGGAGGTGTTACGCTCTGTCCCCACTAAAAAAACAAGCATATTGAAGTCCTAGTCCATATTATCTCAGAATGTGACCTTCTTTTGGAATAGGATCAGTACAGATGCAATTAGCTAAGATGAGGACGTCCTGGTTAGGCCGCCCTCCATGTCATCCAACATGACAGATGTCCTTATAAGAAGACAATGTGTAGTCAGGTGCTGGTGGCTCATTTCCTATAATCCTAGCTACTCAAGAGGCAGAGATCAGGAGGACCATGGTTCGAAGCCAACCTGAACAAATAGTTCACCAGAACTGTCTTGAAAATACTCAACACAAAAAAGGACTGGCAGAATGGCTCAAGTAATAGAGCACCTGCTTAGCAAGTATGAGACCCTGAGTTCAAAAAAAGACAATGTAAAGAAAGTCATGTGATGATGGAGGGAGTTATAGAGCTGCAAGCAGGGCACACCATGACCTGCTGGTGACACCAGAAGCTAAGAGAAAGACATGGAACATATTCTCCCCAACCCCACACCTATCAGAGCCGCCTCATCCTGCCAGGGCCATGCCAGGATCTTCTCCATGATGCCACACCCACCTTTTTGGTGTTGTTTTGTTGTCTTGTTTTGGGGGTACTTTTCTTGCTAGTCCTCAACAATTTCCACTCCTCCTGTGGGGTCTTTCAGTATTATTCATACCATGCTACTTAGTATATTTTGGGGTTTTTTTTAATTCATTTACTCACATGTGCATACATTGTTTGGGTCATTTCTCCACCCTGCCCCCCTCCCCCAATATATTTTGTGTATTAGCGACATTTTGCTGTTGCATTCATAAATCTTATCTCTCAAACTGGTTCCTAAGAACCTTGGACAGAGATGGCTTTACTTCTTGGGGATCATGCCATACCCTATAGCACAAGAGCTTCAGAACTGATAAGCACAACCAAAAAGAACAAATTGTTCCTAGTCTTGCAGGGGGCATCCTGGCCTACTGTCTTCAGGGAGACAAGAGCATCAGCCATTACCTTTCTTTTAAGAAGTCTTCGAACTCTTTGCAGTTCTTGCGGCCGTTGTTCAGATGCTGGATGATGCTGTCATAGCCGATGGTGCTGAGGATGTCAGAGCTCTGGGGAAAGACAACATGGCATCAGACTGCAAACAGTCCAGATGGCCCTGAGGCCTGGAGCGTGGATGGGACAGAAGCCAGCAACTGACATCACTGAATTGCTTCATGTCCGAAACATGAGACCAAAGATTGTACAGAAGAAATAAAAATGCACACAACCATTGGAAGAGTATTTAAAATGATGAAACTGAAGAGTTACAAAACAGGGAGGAAGTGACAGAGGACTGAGAGACACATGGATGGATGAAGGAGAGGTGGGACCCATCTCTCTCCCAGCCTCCACTTACACCTAAGTCAGGTCAGGAGAGAAGGAGCCAGGAGCCCACTCCAGCCTCCTGCCATGTGTGTCTTCACAATGCTGAATGGAAACAAAGTATGCTACAGGTATATTTTAACCAGGGGGTTTTGTACTTAAACTTGCCACCAAGCATGACCCTGAAATCTTCCCACAGCCAGTTAGCCCTCTGGAGAGCCCAGGGTATCTCTGCAAAAGGCAAGCAATTCTGAGCTAGGAGGCAGGAAGCAGGCTGCAGAGTGGGAGAAAAGTGTCCTCTGCACACTGGGAAGCATGAAGGGGGGTCCGGCAGCCAGCACACTCCATGTAGCTCCTGGGCCCAATTTGGGAGAAAATAACTTTTTAATTAGAATTTTTTCATATTTTATTCTCCTATGCTCTCTAAGGATGGCTAAGATCTCAAGCCATAGCTCCAGGTACAGTACTTTAATTATTTATTTTTTGTGGTACTAAGATTTGAACTCAGGGCCTCACACTTGCTAGGCAGGCTCTCTACCACTAGAGACACTCTTCAAGCCCTTTTTTATATTGGGTTTTTTTTTTCCCAGATAAGGTCTCTGAACTATTTGCCTTGAGTTGGCTTCGAACCATGATCCTCCTGATCTCTGCCTCCTGAGTAGCTAGGATTACAGGCATGAGCAACCAGTGCCCAGCTTGCAGTGCATTTTTAAATCAAGGCATTTTACTTCCCTGAACCAACAAATTAATGGCTTTTAAGTATCAAAGTGTTCCCTAATGAGGATGGTTCCTTGGTTCCTACCCCAAATGCAAACAGTGAGTTGCTTGATTCAGATTCCAATAGACTGGGTTATTGAGGTCACCTCTGGATATGCCCTGGAGCTCTGAAACTCACCTACTACACCCCCCGCCAAGGTGGATCAGACTAGGAAGCCCTTCCCCTCCTGTCCTAGTCTGCAGAGGGAGTCCTATGGAAGAGAGCCAGGAGCTAAGAACAAACACTGCTTTCATAGGAACTTAGAGTCTCTCACTCCCCATTGGGCTATAGCAGCTAGCAGTGCTTTCACCTTGCACTAATGGCTTGCCTGGAGCTCTAGATAAGCACATTCTAGATAAATATCTGCAGAAAAACTTGTGATAAATCTCATTCTTGGACTAAAAGAAGACCTTGTCAAAGGAGAATAAATATCTCCTAATGATGGAATTTTCTCCCTTAAGTAAACACTTCTAGAAGAAAGTACCTGGCAGATTCTCAAACATATGTCACCTATGTCAATTAAGGAGATTTGGCCTCTGAGAATCCCAAACTTACCAGTTTTTAAATCATAAGATACAGTTAAAGAAGGGTTGTCATGACAAATAATTAACATTCCAGATTGCCAAAATAAAAGAATATGCATAGAGGTTGACCATGGTGGCTCGAGCTATTTTGGAAGTGGAAGAGCTCCATTCAAGGACAACCTGGGCAAAAAAGTTCTCGAAACCCCCTCATCTTAGCCAGTACCTGGCACAGTTGTGCATGCCTGTCATCCCAGCTACACAGGGAAGCACAAATAGGAAGGTCAAAGTCTAGGCCAGCCCAGGCATAAAGCAAGACCCTATCTCAAAAATAACCAAAGCAAAAGAGGCTGGGGCTCAAGAGGTGGAGCCTAGCAAGCCTGAGGTTCTGAGTCCAGGCCCCTGTACTGACAAAAACAAGTGTTTACACAGAGATAAGGTCCTTTGACCCCTAGACTGACTTACACCTCATAAATATGCCTTACACACAGGACTTCACACTCATTTCATGTGTCCCCATCTCCAATCTTTTGGGATGTGCTTTGTTTCCTGCTTTTTTGCTTTGCTAAATACACTTTTATAAACTCACCTAACTAGACTCATCCGTAAATTCTTTGCTGCAACAATGTCACAAACTCAGGTCGACATTGGCACCACAAACGTGACACCCTATGTCACAAGCTCAGCACCTGGGTTGAGGTTCATGCTTTCTAGGAATTGAATTTGTCCTGGCATTTGAATGGTGACTTCACCAGGACATTTGAATGATGGTTCCGGGGACAGGATAAGGGGTTCTAAAACCTCCTCTCTACCCAGTCCTGGACCCTATGGGAGCAGATGTGCTCTCTTCCATTTGCTGCAACTCATGATGGCCTGGCTGAGCCAATAGTGTCCCAGAAGCACCCAACGGGACCAAGGCCTGAGGCTGATTTCAAAATGGATTTGGGCACATAAATGAACATAACTCATATTGCCTTTCTAATGGATTTATGTAAGTATCATAAATTTATGTAAGCATAATAAATAAATCTAAGCTAGAAATGTTGGATTCTAGCTTTGTGACTATTGTTTGTGTAGATTTAGACCTTGGGAAGTCCAAAGAAACAGCCTCTAGCCCAGCCTCAAGCATCCACCTTCCTACAGATCCCTCTGGCTTAGCCAAGTGAGCATCTCACTGCCCCCTGCTATGTGGGGCTTACACCATCCATTCTCAAACCCAAAGTCAGTCCCTCTCCCTTCAAGTTTTCTGGAAATCTTTTCTGAGTAGCCCCAACTCCTCACTCTAGGTTCTCAAAGTACCCAGCATTAGAATTTGATGCTGGTTATCACCCATGAGAGAAGCTTTTCTGTTCCAACTCTACTGCAAGTATCTGAGGCTTCATTCAAAACTTAGACTGCACCCATCCCCCCCAAAAAAAATTTATCTCCGTGTTATACACATCAAAGGCCTACAGTAAAGATATGCAGGATGAAAATGCCTGTTTTAGTGTTAGTCAGATAAAACAGAAGAGAACAATGGAAAAAAGGTTCCTGAGTGAGTGAATGAACGAGTAACAAAGGGTCAGTGTCAACATGGGTTTGTAGACAGATGTCTTGGGTCCTCCCAGGAAAAGATGCTTGACTTTTGTCTTATGATGTTTATTTGAGAGATGATTTCCCTTTTCTTAATTAAGGGTGTAGATACTCTGAGAGGGGCGGGTACTAGAGCTAAACCAGTTTCCCAGAAACACAACCAAACACCAGACCTCCCAGCTGTAAGCCTTAAAAACAAAACAGAATTGCTGCCCAGTCATTTATTTGAAACGAGGGAGAAAGGAAACCAAGAAAGAAGTAGAGAAGAAATGAAATCCCCAGGAGAAGACAAGTGCCCAAGGCCATATTCAAAGTGGTTGAGGATTTAGCCTGTAAAATTCTGCCTATGCTACTTCAGATATCATGGGTGGTAAGCTGACTGGCAGAACTCAGACTAGGGGGGGCACATAAGAAAGAGGAAAGCACACACAGTCTGAGATGTACCAAGATGCATGGGTACCAAGACAGCAGCACAAATCTTCCATTGGAAGTGAGTATATCAAGCTCATATTTCAATATCCTCAGCTTGATAATCAAAGTCATCTGTAGCACATCTCACACTTCACTCTCCCAGCTTTTCCCACACTGGTCTCTTTCCTTGTCTCCAAGAGAACATGTATTTCTATCCCAAGATCTTTGTACATGCTTTTTCCACAATGAGAATGGCATCTTCAACTACATTCTACTTCTGTTTCCAGGCCTGTTCAAATCCCATTTCTCCTCTGAAGTCTTCCTCAAATAATTTTTCCTACTAACCCCTCTGCCTATTCTGAATGCCTGGAATGTTTATGCCTATTCCTATCATTGGGCTCTGAGCATATACTGTTTTATATCATGAATTGTCATCTTTTTTATAGATTAGTTAACTTGGGCCGGAGGTTTGCCTCAAGCAGTAGGGTGCCTGCTTCACAATTGGAAAGCCCTAAGTTTAAATTCCAGTCACACACACAGACACAAAAAAAAAATTAGTTAACTCCTTATTTGGGTATTTGAATATGCATAAACTTTATCATTCACAGTACAATTCACATTAATGTGCTCAAGACATCAGTTAATTTCATACCAACTACATACAAAGTACTAAAAAGCTTATAAAGCCAGCTTGGGGTAGAGTTCTTGTCATTAGGGAGCCAGCCATTCATTTGGAGAGTCAGTAAAAGACATGCACATAAAACAAACATGTATGCACAAGCAAAACTGAAGACTAAGATCATATGTAAGATTATAGAGAGAAAATATGTAATGAATGCCATAGCAAAAGGGGATAGGCTAGGGTCATTAAAGAAAAGAAGAAATAAGATTTAAATTCAGTCTTCTAAAATGAATAGGAATCAGCCAGTGCCAGTGGCTCATGCCTGTAATCCTAGCTACTCAGGAGGCAGATCAGGAGGATCAAGGTTAAGGCCAGCCCTGGAAAGTAGCTCAGGAGACCCTATCTTGAAAAAAACCAACACAGAACAGGGGTAGTGGAGTGGCTCAAGCAGTAGAGTGCCTGCCTAGCAAGCATGAGGCCCTGAGTTCAAACCCCAGTACCCTAAATAAAAAGATGGCTAGGAATCTCATGAGAAATTAAAAACTATTCCAAACCAATTGGCATTGAAAAAAATAACGTCAAAATTTATGTATGAGACATGGCAAAATAGGAAAAATGCATAGCTCTTAAATTAAAAAATGGTTTTAAATGAGTGACTGGCACTTTTACTCTAAGTAGCTAGGAAAAGAAGGGCAAATAAAACCTGTAGTAAGTACAAAAAAGGAAGTAAAAATAGTGGAATACAATGAGATAGAAATGACAAACAGAGAAAAGGAATGAAGTGAAAGATGAGTCCTTTGAATAGTTTAATAAAATTGGCAAACTAGATTGACCAAAAACAAGAGAAAGACAACAAATACAAATCATCAATTACCAGGATGAAAAAGGGAACACCAAC